CTAAATTAAGCCTTCCAGGCAAATAGATTTAACTAGAAGCAATTTCAGTTGGCTGATACTATGGTAATTTGAAAGTGAAGTTTGTGAATAAGACGGGGCTTCAAAGGGGAATTGGAGAAACCTGGACATGGGAGAGCTGGGCCAGGTCCCTGCTGACACAGGGAATGGTTGGGGTCTGCCTCTGTACCTGCAGCTTTTGAGAAGAGTCTGCACCACCTCTGTATTATTCCATCAGGAAAGCCACTTTTCATGACCCTATCTCACGGACATAGTTTTGGGATATTGGCGGCAAAGCCTCCATCACTGACTACATTTTTCCACAGAGAAAAATGGGGTATTTAACTCTAGGCCAAAACTGTTCAGACCTCAGCACTGTCTCTGAATTGCACCACATTCATGTTGCTGTGAAGCCCACCCTGAGTCCTTTCAGTCTGCAGTGACTTACTGGCCTGGATGTCCACAGCTGAGTGGCACTGGGAATACCATTGGTCATCCAGGGATCACAGACACGTGCTCTAGAAGGGGGAATTGCATTGCTAGCTTCCAGGAGGAGAAAGTCTGCTCTGAATGCCAGCAAGGTCGAATGCTGTTCCAGCAAGGAAGATCTGGCTGCTGTGGCCTGCAGAGAACGAGCCTTGCAACTTGCTGAATCCTGTCATTAGGGACCGGGGCACCCCCTGAGAATCAGGTCAGGATGCCTGGGTGGCTGAAGGCTTTGCCACTGCCTTCGTGTTGCCATGAGATGTGAAAGGAGCAGAAGACATAGTAACCCTTGGGGAGGAATATCACACAAAAAGGAAGTGTGGATCCACATGTTTTGTCCAAATGTTGACGCCATGTTCTCTTCTGATCCCCCTCCAGACTCCACCAGAGGCATGGTTAACCTGTCCAGCCTTCCATAGTGCTTCTTCCCCCAGCACAGCACAGCTGAGGTAAACAGCAGAGCTTCTGAAAACCCAGCCAAGCATTTATCAAACCTCCTCATTCAAGAGTGACAGAGATTGAACTGGGGGGAGAGCCAGACCAGTCATCTCCTGTCATCAGGATGGATGTCCAACCCAGCTGAAAAGACAACCCACCTGATGAGAGCATATTGATCACAGGAAGCTGGGAGACTTAAAAGAGAACTGCCTCACATTCCCTCACTCACAGGCTCCTAGGAAATTGGTCAAGGCTTGGGGAAGGAAAGAAGATGTATTCCCAGAGGATGGCCATCACCTTGCGCTACTGTTGGGGGCTTGCTGCATCAGCACTTATCCTGTCTACCCTGAAAGCAACAGTGCCCAAGGTGAGGACAACTGACTTGGGTGTTTGTGCCTGAAAACCAGGTGGAGTTTGTCCCTGCGCACTGCTATATGGCTGGCAGTGAATGCTGGCTCAAACAGTGTGGCTCATACCTGGTGTTTCATGGGGGCTTGACTGCTACAGACATGCACAGCTTCCCCCTATTTCTCTTTGGGCAGAAAGACCTTCTGGACTGGGGAGGGTATTGTTAGGAACAGTGTATGTCCAGCACAGGGTTAAACTCATTTCCAGTGTGATCAGGTTGGACAAGATAAGATGATCCTGTACCTGAGGGACTGCTTTGGCTGTTGTGCTCTGCAGGCAGCAGAGTTTGGGTGATGTGTACTCTGGGATGACAGACAACGTTGCCCTGGGAATCAGCCAGCCTGAGGCATACAAACAAAGCATCTCTCGAGACCCTATATTCTTCTGACATCCTACACGGAGATGAGAGACCTGCAGCTCATGTGTGGAGCAGGCAGTGCACACTGAGTGGCCTGGTATGGTCTGCGTGGGGTGAGCTCTTCTCGTGGTCACAGGGCTGGTACAAGCCTCCCCACCAGCTGTGAGACCCGGCGCTGTGATGCCAGCCAACTGCACCGAGTGCCAGGGGCTTTGCTGCAGAGTGGTGCCCTGCCCCACTTCACTGCGTGTGGGGCAGTGCCCCAGGGTCCCAGCAACTGCTGGTTTTGGGGCTGATGACGCCCCTTCGCATCCACCCTGTGGTCCTGGTCCATACGTGCTAGTACCAACCGGCAGGCTGAGCACCAGTTTAGATGCTCTGGGATTCCACGTGCACGAGAAGAAGTCACTTGAGCAGAGCTTGAGCCCTGAAGGAGACCGTGTCCCCAGTCCCATGATCCGTTTGCGCGGCCGTGGCACGGCATGCTGCCTGGTGCTCCTGGGAAATGAGCAGGCACAGGGCTCCTCTTGTCGCTTGGCTGACTCATGGGGACTTCCAGAGTTTTAGAAGCTTGGCTATGTGTCTGAGGCAAAGGAAGTACAAGGCCAAGTGCTTGGGATTACTCAGCTCCCAGAGCTTGGTGGGGAGCTTCCCGGGGGCTGTGTACAGGCAGGCACTGGAGGAGGGACGGGTTGAATGTTAGGATGCTGGAAAGCCCCTGACACACCAGCTGTTTTCCAGTTAAACGCAGTCAGACAGCAGGGATTTGTTGCCTTAGTCGTAGCCATGTGCCTAACATTTGTTTTTGTGGTGACCTTAGACTATCCCTTCCATCAGAGCAACACGGGCAGGTCTTGGGACATACTTACCTAGGCAAGATTTCTGCTTGCACGTACCTGAGGTGTTATCTGGGATAACAGGGATCTGGACTTAACCCTTTGCAGCTCTCACTAGTGCATCAGCTTGGCTACGTAAGGTCAGGAAGGGGTGCTGTGGAGCTGCCCTCAGAAGGGTCTTTTGTGGCAGGGGGAACCCCTGTGACTAATGGAGACCACCTCTGCCTGCCCGTTGCAGTCATGGGGAAGGCACTGTCAGGCAGCAGACATTGCCTTGTCTTTTAGCACTGTCTCCCATGGCATCCTCATAGACGAGATGACAAAGGCCAGGTTAGATAAGTGGACAGGGACGTGGGTTGAAAACTGGCTGAGTGGAGGGCTGTGATCTGTGACACAAAGTCCAGTTGGAGGCCAGTCACTAATGGTGCACCCTGAGGGTCAATCCTGGGGATGGTTCTGTTTAACATCTTCATTAATGACCTGGATGATGGGACAGAGTGCACCCTCAGCAAGTTTGCAGTTGATGCAAAGCTGAGATGAGTGGCTGATAGCACTCAGAGATGACATCCTGAGAGACCTGGACAGGCTGGAGAGATGGTCTGAGAGGGACCTTGTGCAGTTCAGGAAGGAGAAATGCTGTGGCTTGGCCCTGGGGACGAACAACCCCAGGCACCAGGACATGCCAGGGCTGTTCTGAGCAACACCAAATTGACCATGAGCCAGCAACATGCCCTTGCAGCAAAGGTGGCCAACGGTGTCCTGGGCTACATAAGGAGGAGCATCACTGAAGGTCGAGGGAGGGAATCCTTCCCCTCTGCTCAGCACTACTGAGGTCACACCTGCGGTGCCATGGCCAGTGTTGTGACTCCTAGACTGGACTGGCACACATGGCTAGATGAGGAGACAAACACTAGTCACCCTCAAACAACTTGCCTGCCATTCTCGGGGTCTGTAGAACATGCTCAGGCTCTCCATCCCACTGCCCAAGGAACAAGCACACCCCAAATGAGCCACTTTGTTATTGTCAGGCAATGGTGCTGTGTCCCCTCTCCTGACATATCTTCCCTTGGCCCCTGCCCCCCCCCCCCCATGCTGGATCCATAGCCTCTGCGTGCTCATGGCATTTTTTTTTTTTTTTTTTTTTCAGGGAATAAAAGCACTGTCCAGAAGTATGTCCCCAGACTCTTGGTGAGTGAGAGTGCCTCTCTGGCCTAGGGGAGGGTGGCCCAGGGAGTTGCCGCTGGGCAGGGGACTCCCATGGGCCAGCTCCCCATGAGGTCCCAGCAAACCCCATCCTTGTCCAGTAAATGAGGACTGAAGCAGTCCCACTCAGGTGCCAACACTGCTTCCCTCCCTGGTCCAGCAGTGAGGGGAAAGGGTTTGGAGGCTGTTTTTGCCAGATGGGCACCACACACGTGTGATGGGGCTGCTGTGCCACTGCAGGTGGACGACCTTGATGCAGTCCTCTGGAAGATGGTGGCAGTGAGTGAGCTCCAGAGCAAGGGATTTACCCAGACAGATCAGACCCCTCAGCAACCCAGCAAGAGAGGTGAGTACCCAGCTCCCAGTGGGTCCTGAGACCCGACCATATCCATGCAAAGAGGCCGTGGCAATCAGGGGCCAGGCTTGGGGTGGAGGGTGCCCATGGTGTGGACTAAGCCATTCAACTCTCAGTCTGTGCTCCTAGAACTGACTTCAAAGCTGAAACAGAGCCTGAGAGAAGAGATAGACATCTCCCTTCCTTTAAAATTTTTGGCTGTAGCCAAGCACTGCTGCAGCCCCTTGTATGGGTGTCTTTTGCTTTTACTCCCAGCTTGCTTCTGGAAATACTGTGTCGCCAAATGAGGGGTACAGGAGGAGCCCTGCCTGCTTCCCTGCCACCACTATCCCAGTGCCTTCCCGTGGGCCCATCCACATGTGACCCCACACCTTGCTGTGGGCTAGTTTGCACAAAGCTTTGAAAGGTCTCCAGTCCCTTGTGGGGAAAAGAGGAGGGGTCTACAGGTGAGGAGGGGTATCATGGGGTATCGAGAGAGTCCTGTGAGGCTCCAGGGTGCAAGACAGTGTTTCTCCCATTCCAGTGGACCTCCAGGACCCATGGCGAGGCAGAGCTGCCACTGTGGCCTGGCAGGGACATGCTGGCTGCCAGCAGGAGCTGAATAAACCCCTCGGACCCAAGCAGCATCCTGTGGTTACTCCATCCCCACACTGTGCAGGGTCCTGCACCCTCCCACCGTCAGGTGCGTGGCATGGGCAGATTGCAGTGCTGGTGCTGTGTGGAGGGGACGTTTCTCCTGGGGGCAGGCCATGAGTTGCCATGTGCATCCCAATGATCCAGGGCAGCAGAGACAGGGGGCTACAGCTTTACTTATGTTAAATCTCAAATGGGTTTCCACCACAGGAAAGCCCTCTCCACCCCCTGAAGCACCCTCCATGCCCAGTGGTCTTGGCCCATGTGCTGACAGTACACAAGCAAGGCATATTAAAATATAGTTTATTGCTGTTCTTATTTAAAAAAAAAAAAAAATAAACCAAAACCCATTAATAACAAAACCAGTCCCCAAACACAGTGCTATCAGAGACAGGCTTGTGAGGACACACCTTTTAGTGCAAAGAGGGAAGTGGCAGTGAGGGCTGGAGGGGGGGTCTGCCATCACCGTGTCTCTGTAGGACCCACCACACTCACTGTACAGTATTCTTTTGCCTATGGGGCTGGCTGGGGGGGGGGGGGGGGGGGGGGGCTGGCTGAATTCACAGGCACTGGCTGGAGCCCTCAGGGGAGCTGGAGGTATCAGATGGAGAAGGATGGGATGTCACAGCTGTGCAGAGCGTCTTTGACTCCTCTTGCATCAGCAACACTGGGCAGGAAGGCACAACGCTGAGCCAAGGAGCACCAAACCTGTCCATGTGTCTCTTACAGACACAGCACCTTAGAAGACAGCCTTTGCCTGCTCCCTTGGGCTGTTCAGCACTGGGGTGTGGAAACGAGACAGATGCCCTAACCCATGCCTCCATCAACCCATCAGGCACCTGGGGAGAGGGTGGTGGAGCTGGAGCTGCACATGGCTGCATCTCCTGCAGTGTCCTGCAAGGCAGGGAGAGGTTTCTTAGCTCACAGGAGCCAGGTGGGACCTTACAGCCAGCAGCACGTGGTCCTGGGTGCTGACACACATGGGAGGGATGCCCTGATCCTCAGCCCTTCACGAGTGCCTGCACCCCTCCTTCCTTCCCACAGCAGGTCCTGGCACTTCCATGCCAGGCATCATCCCCAGCTTCTTCCTGCCCCGCTGTCCTAACGGGGAATTAGACACGGGTTACAACTCTCTAGCAGTGAGAACAATTTGTCACTGCAATAAACTACCAGGGACAGAGCCTCTTGGTGTCTTCAGATGGAGCCCAGATGCCTTAATGGGAGAGAGGACTTGCCCACATGCAGGCTGTGAGGTGCTGTGCAGAAGGGCAATGGGACCAATTCAAACAGCTCCAGCCCACGCGATGCACTGGGATTCCGGGATGCCTTTTCCCAGGTGTATGGGATAGCTGGGACTGCACGGGGCTGGCAGAGCAGAGCAGCTCCAGCAGCAGATGCGGAGGCAGGGCTGGCCCAGCTGATTGGGGGATCTCATCTCTTCCACCAGAGTGCCACTGAAGAAGGCTAGTGCTCAGCTTTTTCCATGCCACCGTGAGACCCGTTTTTGGGGAGCAGGGATGCAGCTGCCACTGCAGCCACGCACGGTTAGTACTGATGGCACATGAGGGCTGCAGCGAGGGAGCGGGGTTGGGGGTGGGCTGTGAAGCAAGGTGCTATTTCTGAAAGGCAGGGGGTAGCGATGCTGTGAACCCCCTCTAGTCCCTCCCTCAGCCAGGGTTTGGTTGTGCCAGGACTGCAGAGGTGAGGGGCTCGGCCAGGGGCAGTGGTACCAGCACACCCCACAGTGGGGTTAGGTCATCTTCCTGGCGACGCTGGCGTAGGTGTGCTCGATCTCCTCATCAGCGGGACACGTGTGGCTGAACTCATCGCAAGCATAGGCGTTGTTGAGGTAACGCCAAACGCCTGTCATGTCTGCTGGTATTTCAAAGTCACGGTACTTCTTGGCTGCAATCTAGAGAGGAGAGGAGGAGGAGGCTGAGGCTTCCCAGACCTGGGGGAGATTCGATCTCTGTCTTGGGGAGTGGGGACAAATACGGGACTCCCAGCCCCCTGTTTGCATCACCCCACCCTGTCGCCCTCTCTTGGAGTGGGTGCCCCCACCTTGGCCCTGGGAGCCGGTGCCATTACCTTGATGATATGCAGTTTGGGCAGGAGGTTGCAATCAGCCAGTGTCAGGTGGTCTCCATCCAGGAATTTCCTCTTGGAGACGGTGATGTCTTCCACGCTGTCCTGGTCAATCTCCTCAGGGAGAGGAGTGTTTAGGTAGACATCCAGCCGCTGAAACTCCCGCAGCAGGGCCTTCTCGAAATCTGGGTGGGCAGGGAAACAAGTGCAGTTACCCTGGTGCCCTGGGCTCCCAGCACAGACTAGGGCTGTGCCTGGGTGGCTGACCCTCTTCCAGGCTTTGAATGCAGGGAGAAAGCCCTCAGGACCACACCAGTGGTGCACAGCACTGTGCCCTGGCCAGAGTCTCTGCTCCCAGGGAATCCCAGAAGCACCACCCCGTGCTCCCCTCCAGCCCTCCCCAGCATCTGCACACAGGGCTGTTAGCCCCACTGAGCACAGGACTGCCTTCACCCTTCCTGCCCACTCCTCCACTTACCAAGGAGGCTTTGGTGAGGAAGGCAGCAGGAACCCTGACCCAGTGGCAGGATCTGCCCATAGACAAAAGCATCTCTCCTCTTCCCGACGTGGCAGGGCACAGCCCTGCAGCCCCCACCCTCATTTCTTACTGATATTTGCTTCCTTGCGTGGGTTCTTGATGTATGCTGAGAATTTGGCAAAGATGTCGCTCCCCACGTCAAATGACTCCTTGTACTTGGGACTCAGGTGGGGATACCTTTAAAGAGACACTTGTGTCAGTGCAAGCAAGGATGGAGGCAGAGATTCAGCTGCATGGTCCTGAGCCACATTATCTCCTGGGCCATCATGCCCAGGGTTGGTACTGGAGGATGCAGGTGATGTTTGGCTGGTTGTGGGAGAATGGTGATGCTTTAAATTACTGCAGCTGCCACCCTGGAAGCTGTATTGTCTTAGGTGCTTGCTAGGGGAAAATCACAGGGTAGAAATTCCACTGTTTGGGGACACTGGTGGCAGCAGAGCCCCGGAGCAGAGCTCTGCCTGCAGGCAGCTCCGGCCCAGCCCAGAGGACTCATGTTGGCACGGGAGGCCAACATCTTGGGAAGCCAGAAGCTCCCATGACTTCCTCAGGAACAGACCCTTGGTTGTTGATGCGTCCCAGGGCACCCTGCAAAGGCAGACACGTCCGAAGAGGCGGATGACGAATGCATTTGAAACTTCCTCTTTTGCATGTGGCGGGGGGGCTGGTGGCCGCACGGGGCACGGGGCGGGCTGGCTTGGCAGGCTGCAAGCTGTGCCCTGCGTGAGCCCAGGGGAACACCCCCACCGCACCGCGGCAGCCCTCTGCGCCAGCTGCGCTGATGTACTTAAGCAAGGGCATTTGCTTTTGCTGAGCTAGATGCGCTGGATATGAGTGGGCAAAGGGGGTCTCACATTGCCCCCTCTACCTCAACACCAACTGCTACAGCCAGCCACAACACCAGCAGCCCCAGGGGGTCCCTGTGCCTGCAGGGACCTTCCTGCATTCTCCCTCTCCTCCCCAGCCCTGCCTGCACCAAGGGACCGGTGCATTTCCTCCCTTTGTTTTCCACTCTAGACGATTCCCCATCCCCCTGCAGCCCAACCCACTGCCTTCTCCCAGGGATGCGACCCCTCGGCATCACATCCCGTGGCCCTGCAGAGCATGGCTCATGGTGCTGGTGGGGAGCCAGCCCCCTTCCCAAGCTGCTCTCAGGCACCTCCTAGCACCCTGACTCGGTTTCCCAATCTGCTGAGCGTTACGCAATGCTGTGGTGTGCCAGCCGGGCCCTGAAAGGGGGAAGGAGCAAGCTTGCAATTACGTGGGTGGGCCCAGGGTCTGCTCCAGGAACTCCTCGATCTTAATGAAGTCTGTTTTCAGCTCCTTGTTGAACAGCAAGAAGGGAGGGTTGGTGCCCGGTGCTAAATCTTTCAACTCTTCAGGTTTCCTGGAGTAGAGAAAATAAGTGGTCTCAGAGCCTGCAGCCTGTCTGCACCCACCAGCCTCCCCAGGACGAACAGACAAGGCTGAGGTGGGTGTGTGGGAGGGAGCACAGGGCCGGGAGCATCCCCACTTGCATGCTTTGCCGGGTTTGGGGGGCTGAGAAGTGCCCCACATCCTCTTGGTCTGCCCTGTGAGGTCTTGGACTCATACCCACATCCAGCAGGACAGAGGGTCCCTGTGCTGTGCACATGTTGGTACATGGCTGGAGGTCCATGCTGGCGCACCCCCTGCACCCCACGGCATGTCAGGCAGTGCATGAGCAGGGACTGTCACCCCTGTCCCTCTCGCAGTGGCATGCTGGCTGCCGTGTGGGTGGGAGGGAGGAAAGTACTGATGGGGGATCTGAGCCAGGGGTGTCTCACTCCGCTGCACGTGGCTGGGCCATGGTGCCATCTCACCTGGTCATGTCCACCGTGGTGACGTTGAACTTGACCCCTTTGAGCCACAGCACCATGAAGAGGCGCTGGCAGAAGGGGCAGTTTCCAATGTTTTCTCCATCCAAACCAGCCTGCCAGGAAAGCAGAGAAACAAGGATTTAACCCATTGGCTGGGATCACTCAGCCTCGATGGGATGCCTGGAGATGGAGAGCCACCAGAGCCGGTGTCAGGAGGAAGGCACACAGTGGGCTTGGCCCGGCACCCCAGCATCGCACACAGTGGGGAGCCTTTCCCTGCACCGGGTGCTCAGCTGTGGGATCCCCTCCCTAAGCCATGGCCCTGTCGCCACTGGAAAGCATCAGAGAGCATCCTCAGGATGCCTGGGGTCAGATCCTTCCCAGAAAAGTGAGATAAAGCCAGGAGGAAGAGGAGAAGGAGGCAGAGGAAGGGGGTGGAGGGTGACAGCTGATGGATGGGGAGGAAGGGAGGGTCCACTTGGCTGGCAGGCCAGGCTGGAGAGAGCAGCGAGAAGGGAAATGTGCTCATGTTTTCCAGGAAAAGAGCAGTTTGTTTTTGTGTGCTGTTAGTGTCTGCCTCCAGTTTTGTGTGTGTTTAATGAACCCAGGCGTGACTTCCCCAGGCTGGTGACAGCCAAGAAGCACCCAAGCAGCCTCCTTGGCCTCTGGGAGGAGAAGGGACTGGGGGTGGTGGGGCTGTGCAGAGGTAGATTCATGCTGGCATCCCATCCCACATCAGTGGGGAATGGAGACACATGTCAGCTCCTAAATCTTCAATCGTGTGCAGATAGTCCCTTCCAACCCCTCTGCGTGGACACAGCCACAGCATCTCAGCTCCCAGGGGGCTGCTCTGTGACCAGGATGGGGTCAAACAGCAGTGGGGACATGGGAAAGCAAGGAGCTTGGGCAACATGCATGAGTTCCACCAGGTTTCCCTCCATCAGGGTTTCACCCAGATGATGCCCATTCAGCAATCTCAAGGGAAAGCAGCAGCAGGTGGAGTGAAGCCCATTTCCTTGGTATGCAGCAGCTGAAAATATCCTTTGCGAAAAGGACTAAAACTCCTTATCAGGAGTTTGGTCAAGAGGAATGGGGCAGGTTCCCCCCACAGTGCATGAAAACTGGCACAGATGCTGTTCAGAGAGGGAAGTTGGGCTGTGGCATGAGAGCTAAAATGGCTCACAGGAAGCTCAACTTTTTTGAGAGAATGTTCCTCAGCTGCACGTGAACCGTGGCCCTCCAGAGCATGTGGCAGTTTTGCCACTGCAGGGAGGAGCAGCACAGCTCATACCAGCTCCTTCACGGAGGGATGCTGCTCCCATGGAGAGGGTTGTGTCAGCACGTGAGCCCCAGTGGGATGGCTCATGTCCTGTGGCTCTTCACTAAGCCTTAGTATCAGCTGATGAGCTGAAGTCCAGAGGCTCAGCAGAAGGCTGATGAGATCTGAAAGAATCTGGTGGTGCAGAAATCAAGCAGCAACAACACCCAGGGTGGGCAGCTGGAGGTGGCTCCAGAGCTCACACCTCACTGGGGCCCCAAGGACACAATTGGCTGAGGATGCTTCATTAGTAAAAGATACAAAGACCTGTGCCTGGCTCACCTGGACTGGAGGTAAGTGCTGCAAGTCACCTGTCTGTACCTACAGGTGCCCAGAAACCTGTGGACTCTGGAGTGCTCAGCTTTTCGAAGGGAGACACACCAGCCTCAAACTCACCCAAAGGGAGATGGTAAACTGATCAAAACAAAACCCTGATACTCTGAGTAGTCAGCTGGAGGTGATGGTCTGCTTCTCCACTATGCCAACACCTTTTAGTCCTTCCAGAGGAAGGAAAATGGCTTTTAACCAGCATTTCCTATGATCAGCTGTCATGAAGTGATGCTCCTGAGAAAGCAAAGGGGAGCTGAAAAATTTATTGATTCTCTGGGATATACTTAGAAGTGAAGGTGAATTCACACATGAGGCTTTTTGCTGGCTATTAATAAGAAATGCTTCTGGGGAGCTGCTGCTCAGGAGCATCGCATGTCAGCTAATAACAAATAAGGCTTCTTTGGTAAAATTGTGTATCGATGTCTTGTGAGGGAGCTGGAGGGGAGAGTCAGAAAACAGCCACAAGGGTAACCCACTGGCATGAAAGCAGGGCATCTCTTCTCCCCTTCCTTTCTCCATCGTTGCTGGAACCTACAAGCCAAAACTAATGCCATCTCCAACAGGAGACATTGGAGCATCTTCAGCACCAACAGCTCAGAAGGTGCTTTTGTGGCTGCCCAGCATGAGGACCAATGCTTTACTCCCTGCTCTCCTGAGATGGCCTTTGCTGGTGGCAGATGAGAGGGCAGCCAGCCAGCTGCGCCCCCCTTTGCTTTCCTCGCTCAGCACAAGGCTGGGAGTGAGGGGGCTTGATTGGAATTTATCTCGTTGGCCCCCCAGGAGCTGTCACGCTGAGCCAAGGTGGCGAGTGGCTCCCGTGGAGTTGTATGAGGGGCAACAGTGGTGCTGGAGGGGATGGTTGTGTGACAGGGTGTCCCTCACTGGGGCTGCTCTGTGCTTGCCTGCTTCAGGCTCCTCCAAGCTTGTCTTGTAGCTCCAGCCTCTGAGCATCTCAGGCTGGATTTCCCCCTTGTCTTTTAAAAGTAGAAAAGTGGGGAATTTTGGACCAGAGTGAAAGGGAAATCAGGATGCCCTCTGCAGGGAAAAAAAAAAAAAATAAGCCAGGCCCATCCTAAGATGCTCAAAGCCAAATCTTTATCCGGAGGAAGCGGAGGGCACCTCCACCAGCACTTGGGTGCTTCTGGGGTGGTCACTGAGCCCTGGCATGGCCTTGCTGGCACCCATGTGGCCATGGGGGGAACCCTCCATGAGCCAGGGGATCTCAGGGGAAAGGGGTTTGCGGGGACTCATAGGCACACGCCCTCCCTCCCCAGCAAAAGGCAAGCAGCACAACGGGGAAGTCATCACTCTTCCTTCTCTGGAGAGAACCTCTTCCCCTACTCTCCCCAGGCTGCAGCAGGGACCAGGGTGGGGATGCAGAGCCTGAAGCTACCCCAGACTGACTTCCCTCACTCTTTTTACCCCTCCAGATGATGAATAAACCCAGCATGGGCTAGAGCAGCATCTCCAGGGAGGTGCAGGTTTTTAGCCCCAACTCTGAGGCCTCACAAGGCTGCATGAGGCATTAAAACCCAAAAGTTACTTAGCAGTTCCTGTGGTTTTCCCCTCAGAGAAACCATATGAAACGCAGTGGGAGGAGGGAGGAGTTCTGCATGCTTGGGGCACTGCTAAGTGCTCAACACCCACCAGGACCTGCTCATGGTTCCTACAGCCACCCTGAAAGCTGGAAAGCAGTCTTGGGGGTGGCTAGATGCCTCATGGGGCTGAGGGGCAGAGCCTCCTCCCAGGCAGGCAGAGCCCCCCAGTCAGTGGGCCGATGCTCTCACTGGACCACAGCAGGGTGAGAAATTGCCAGCCTTTTGGGGGCCATCTGCCCCAGCCCAAAGGTGATGCAGGAGCCGCTTTGCACCTTCCCTGTCCTCGCCAGGTTAATTTAAGCATTTTCCAAAGTGAAAGCCGGGCAGGGGCAGCGTGCCTGTAAGCACTCGTGGGAGAACCTGATTCCCCCATAATTTACAGCTATTGTGGGTTACACCAGCAGCCGTGTCTCAGGGTGGACCCCAGCCCAGGAGAGGTGCAGGGCGCCAGTGGTGCAGGAGGGTGCCTGTCTGCAGCTGGGAGCTGCTGTGACTTCAGTAAAACGGGGTCGTGAATGGTAGAAGGAGGAGGCGCAGCATCAATTTGTCTGTTAACAGACAAGCCAGAAGGGTTTTTTCATGCTAAATTAAGGCGTAGGGGAAGTCCTGACGATGCTGCTGCTTTGTTTTCTGTTTCCCTTCCCTCTGAAAACCCCCTTGAACATGCTGCCGCCATTGCAGTCACCTCATGTATCATTTTCCTCTTCTCCCCAGCCATCTGGGGGAAAAAGCGGTGCTAAGATGGGAATTCAAGACCCAAATTACTTTCACCAGGAAAATACACTTGTCTGGATTCGGCTCAGCCAAGCTCCGTGCCTGGCAAGCAACACCATGGCCACAGTTTTGGCAAGGGGATGGGGGGGCATCCCTCTTGCAAAGGCTCAGATCATCCTTTCCAACACACGTTTCCAACAATGACTGAAGCAAGGTCCTGTGCAGTGCCCAGCACTGCCGGCTGCCTGTGCCAGGGAAGCCGATGCCTCTGGCCAAGCACCACAGTCCCCCCAGGCACTGAGTTTCCCTAGGAGGAGAGGAGCAAAGCCCGTGGGGCTGATCAGCTGTGGGTAAACTGCTCTTAAAACCTCGATGTGGTGGCAGAGGGAGGCACTGCTCCCCCTGGCCACTGTCACTTGACAGCATGTCCTGGGCCCCCACTGGCATCGCCAGCTTCAGCTCCTCTTTTTACACCCCACATATCCACTGCAGATATTTTGAACTCAAGTATTAAAATGTTCCAGGGGACGTGTTTGGAAAATTGCTTAACAGGAAAAAAAAAAAAAAAAAAAAAAATTTCCAGTGAATAATCCCCCCCCGGCTGCTCTGTGAAGACGCCCCATCCCGCCCACATGTGGGCACCCACGCAGGCTCCCCAAGCCATCCGCTCTCTGTTTCGCAATGCTGGCTCACAGGAGAAGCTGAAGTGGCTGCTCTCAACCCTCCCGCTTGCTGTTCCCAGGCTGGAGCTTGTCTTATCTGGGTTTCGAGAGGCACGTGTGTGCCCGCTCCTTCCTTACACCAGCTGCCAGCAGTGCCATTCCCCCAGGGTACACAACCACCGCAAGACCAGGGCATCTTTTAGGATGCTGGGGATGACAACCCACCAGTCCCCATGCCAGTCCCCTCCTCTGTGCACCCGCTTAGCCAGCCTTCATGGCGAGCGCTCCCAAACTTGGTACCCATCTCCAGCCTCCTGATACATGAAGACACCCACAAATTTCCACCGCCTACACCCAGCTGGAGCCTGGTGAGGATGAGCCTGCAGGGAACTGCCAAAAAGCAACTGTCCCCTCTGAGACCCACCTTCACAAACAGCTCGATCTCAGGCTCCTTGGTGGCGTGCTGCCGACTCTCCATCCCAGCAGCGTGAGGAGGGCCCACTGGCTGCTCACTGCTGTGGTGAGTTGGTCCGTCCTTTGCAGAGCTCTGATAGAGGAGGCTTTCAGAGGGCTGGCAGCTAGAGCACCTCAGCTGCACTCGCGCCCTGCGGAGGGCTGGGGCTTGCCCTTTCCTTCCTTTTGAAGCGGGGAGGAGCGATGGGGTGTGCGCCAGGACCTGCAGGCGGGGAGGGGGAAGCTGTGGGGCCTCCCAGCCGTGACTCAGCATGGGTCTATCTGGACATGTTCACGGGTCCCCTTCAAGTCTATCACACCCGCCCAGGCACTGCTCCAGTGTCTCCGGAGCAGTGGGCTGACAGCCCCGGCGGCCCCGGCACTGCTGCCGTCACCTCCCAGCTGGGAGCAGGGAGTTTTGCAGAGGAAGCGTCTTGCCTGCCGCTCCTCATGCTGCTCCAGTCTGGTCCTGCTCCTTCACCATCCTCCCACCCTTGCACTTGGACACCAGCACCCCAGGGCTCGCCACTTCTTTATCTCTTTGGGGTGAACGGAGCTGATCTTCCCACTGCCTTCCCCGCTCCTGCTGCTGCATCACGATGGGCAGCTGCCAGGAGGGAGGGTACAGCTCCTCTCCCTGCCCACCCCTCCTTGGAGTGCCCCCCTGCGTGGGCTCCGCTGCGCAGCCCTCGCTGCAAGGAGCAGGGGCTGAGCGGGGTGAGGGTTTGGGGCAGCCTGGCTACCTGCCACCAGGTCTTTGCAGTGGGTCGAGCGCTGCCAGGACGCAGACTTTGGGCAGGAAGGATTGCAAAACAGCCAAGAAGGGAAAGCAAAGAGGTTGAAGCATGTCGGGGTGCAGTGGGGAACCCCAGAGCATCACCGGCAGCAGCCCAGCCAGAGCAGTGAGCGGCAGGGTGATGAGAAGGGATGTCTCTGGGGCTAAACCCCGGCAGGGCCTCGTTCCTGGAATTTGGGCTGTTTTGCCGGAAGGATGACGGTCTCTTGCTTTCCTCCCCAGAATCGGAGGGAAACATTTGCAGGCAGATGATCCTGGCTGCCCTCCCAGCGGAGACAGCTTTCCAGCACCCACGGGCTTAATTCCTCTCTTGGGCAAGTCCTGTCTCGCACCTTGGGACCCCATAACTGCTATCAAGCTTTGCACAAAATGGAGATCCTGATTGCTTGACTCAGCCCCCTCCAGCTCGGGTAAGCTCAGACTTTCCTAAAAATAATCAAACCCCGATAAGAAGGCATTCACCCCAAGGCAATTAGGCTGAGAAATGATTTTGCAGGCTCCCAGAGGAGTCTCCCCGAGGAAGATGTTTCTCCTGGGTCCTGCTGTACAGCCCAGAGTGGTGCTTACACTGGCAGCTGCACGGGAGGGGAAGGGGGGCACTTTTCTTTCTGCCCCACCAAAGCTTTTGGAGAACTTGAAACTCCACCCAGCGGGACAGGAAACTGCCTGAAGTTCTCATAAGCAAGATGGATGAATTAAAGGCTTTGTGAATGCCAAGTGGGACCACGACAGCACCCTCAGCATGAGCTCGGCATCTGTTTTGCTCCCCCCACCCAGACCCTGCTGTGGACCCCCGGCTGATGTGTGCTGGTCCCTGCTGCCGCCCCCGCCCCTCCCTTGCTGCCCCTGCACGAGTGGTGCTGAGCCTGCTCCTGGCACTGCCGGCTGCTGCCTTCCCTGCTGACCTCAGCCTGGGGACAGACTGAGCAGCTCCTGCTCGTTGCGTTTCCCTCAGAGCTGCCAGCTGAAGCAGCGGGCAGGGATTTAACTCCTGCATGGCAAGGGGGCACAGGGGTGGCACGGTGCCCTCCTCACAAGATGTCAGAGTGCCCGGTATCTGGCCCTGTGGAGGTTGTGGGGCAGAAGGGAGGCAGCAAAAAGGTCCCTGCCTGCGGTGTTTGATGCAGGGAGGGCATTTGCCTTTTCTGCAGGAACAGCCACCTTGAGAGGCAGCGCAGGCAGCCCTTCCCTTCCTCCTAAAACGGTGAATGGCCGGACATTTGCTGAGATGGAGATTACAGCACACGTGTATCCGGATTTCTGCCTCGCTGTATCTGTGAGAAGGCAGGGGGCATGTTGGAAACCTTCCCAAGCCCCGTCCCTCCGCTCGGGGGGGAACAGAGGTGGGAGGGAAGGGGCTGCCGGTTTCTCCGCCAGCGATGGTGATGCCAAGGCACAGCACCCGCTCACCCACCACAGAGCGCCTTTGAAAACATGTCCCTCCCTCCCCATGGGAGGCGTCCGAGCACCGAGGGTGTCCCAGCTGTCCAGAGCAGCCCCTTGCCCTGGGCAGCAGACAAAGAGCGGGTACACGGGCGCCCGCCCAGCCCCGGCGCTTTGGCAGGGCAGAGAAGCGAGCCATTGTCCCCGCGCACCGCCTGGCCGGCACCAGCCACCGCCGAGGACCTCAGCGGCAGAGGCTGCCTGGTGGGACGCAGCAGAGCCGGCACTGGCTGCACCATGACTGGGCTGGTGGGGCCGGCAGCAGCCCTGGTCCTCATCTACCTGGCTGTGGGGCTGGAGGCCAGCCCAGAGCTCTCTGGTGAGTCGGGGTGCAGGCAGGGTGACGAGGGATGCTGGGGACCACACCAGTGTGAGGGGAGGAGGGTGGAGCGACAGCCGGGTTGGTGGGGTAGGGACAAGTGAGGCACAAGCCAGTGCAGACCAGAGGGAGCTTGCCAAAAAACCTAGGGGTTTTTAATCCCCATGTATATATAATCTGGGATCTGAAAACACCCCATGCATGTCCCACAGCCCCAGTGTGAGCAAGGGAGTGGCTCCCCCGCTGCTGCTGCACTCCCTTGGACAGTTTGGAGGCAGAAATGCAAAAAAACCCACAAATCTTAAGACAGTTCCCAAGCTTTCCTAAGACACCCCTGGCCATGATGCTCATGCCCTTGGCACTGGGCAGTGTTTGGAGCTGAAGGCTCCCCTGCAAGTCTTTGCTGCTCTGAGAAGGTGAGGGATGAGACGAGCTGAAGCTGTCCCTGGTCCCTGGCCGGAGGCAGTGGCTTCGATCCCCAGCCAGAGCCACCCATGGGCAGGGGGGCTGTACAGCAAGGGCCAGATCCTCTACGCAGGGACAGCGCCACTGAGCCTTATAGATATAGCTGAGGCAGAAATCGGGGATGCCTTGCATCCCAGCACTTGAGACAGTCAGGATGGGTGGAAGCAGGCTGGGTGCCTGGGGGCTGCCTTTCCTCTGAGGGATTTTCTGGAAACAGGCCACACACACCTTTCACTCACTCTGCCGGGCCTGGGCAGCACAAGAGCCCAGCACGATGCCACGGAGCACAGCAGGGCAGGCTGCGGCAAGGAGGATGTGATTTCATCTGGGCAGAGCTATCTGCACAACCGCACCATCAGGGACTGAGTCAGCAGCACCGGCAAGCAACCGGAATCACTCTCAAAATCTGCCTGCAGCTTCCTTGTCACGGTTTCACCCAAACCCCCACCCACCCCCAATTTCACAGTTGCCCCAAAATGGTGTGGTGGAGAAATCTCTGTCCCCATGGCACTGTTTGAGCCTTGTTTTTTAAATACAAACCAGTGGTGCTGCCAGCTGGCATGGGAGCAGAGGAGGCTGCCTGCTGCAGGGATTCAGGGGAATCCATTTCTCCCCCTATTCCTCCCCCATGTCCCCCACCATTCCCAGGATTTGTTTCAGCCCTCTGTGCCCAGGGCTGGCCCAGCAGCAGGGAGTTTGGGCAGCTGCACACCAGCAATCTCAGGGATGTGCGGGCAGGTTTGGTGTTGGTGCCAGGCAGAAATTCAGCCCTGGGCTGCTCTGGAGCCTGCACAGCCTGGCTACTGCTGCAGGTGTGAAGCTGCTGCAGGGAATGCAGAGGAAGGAGATGGGGACCGGCAGCCCAGGCAGGGTCCTGTGCCCCTCAGCCTCCAGCATGGGGCAACCACAGAAGAGGGGCAGGACAGGGCTTGTCCTGGCCCCCTCTTTGTGGGCACTGTACCCCAAGGGGCAGATGCAGCTCTGTGCCCTGCAAGGGGCATCTTTGCATCTCACTGGAGCTTTGACCTGGCTAAAACAGCTTGTCTGCGCCCATCCACCCTCCTCTGCCTCTCCTCTTCTCTCTCCTCCAGCATGCAGAGGACTGAGCAAGGGCCGGCTTGTGTAAGGATGTGGCCCTCCCACTCCTCATCGCTCATCCCAGGCTCGAAAGGAGAAATGCCAGCGGTTGCTCATGTCCAAGGGAAAGATCAGCTCAGAGAAGGGGCAGCTCCCAGCCACATCTGCTGATGTCTCCCAGGGAGGGATGCTGGCCATGGATGCCAAAGGGTTAGTGGCAGCAAGGAAGGTGACAGGGACCCTTTGTGCAGCTCAGCCTGGCACCAGTTTGCGGAGGGACAGAGGGAGAAGTGCAGGGCTGGGAGCTGGCGCTCCCACCTTCTTGTACTAGTTTGGGGGAGTCTGACACACTGCAGGCGCGGGGAGAGGGTGCATGTCTTGCCCTGGACCCCAGCACTGGGCTGGGGCTAGGGTGCAAGTTCCTCCAAGGACCCCACAGCTGGGGATTGGGGTTTGTGACCCACCCTGTCCCCACCTCCCAGCCTCAAGATTATGTGTCTCCTTTGCTTTTGTTGTATTCAAAGGTCTTATGCAAACTACTCTGCCCAGAGCCCTACACATCATTTTTTGTCAGCTTCTCCTGCTTCCTCAGCCTCCTCCAGCAACCAGTGCCCACTCAGAGCACCCCTGACACCTTGCAGAGCTTTGATTAAAACAGCTTCCTCACTCACACAGCACAGCTGATACCAGCCAGAGCTGATGGCTGCATGTTAAACCCTCTTAAAGACTAGGCAGAACAGCCCCACCTTACTGTCCCTTGTAGGGAAAACAACAGGCTAAGTGATTTGGGACACAAACAAGGCAGGATTAAAAGAGATTACCCCGCAGTGGGAATTCAGGGAGAGAAGGGCCACTGCCTGTCAGAAAGATCACGGGCTGGGAACAGCTCACGCTAATGCACTGGGCTGGATTTAAGATTTGCTGCAAGACTGCCTCCTCTGCTGCAGCCCCATACTGGTCCTGTTTGCCCCACGAGTGCCCCAGCCCAGGATATCCTCACTGCTGCCAGCTGTCAGGAGCCCAAGTGCTGCTATTGCCCTGATCCTGGTGTCTCCTCTGGCCAATGCCACCTGTGCTCTCCCCTCGCAGGATACCTGCGCAAGGTGCTGAGGAACCACACCATCCACACATGTGACGGGGAGCAGCTACTCATCGTCTGCCCTCACAGGACCACCATCAGCATCCTCGGTGCCTTCTACGGACGTCGCGTACCCAGCCCCAACCTCTGCCCCAGCCCTGGCAATGCCTCCCAGGAGAGCACCGAGTGCATGTCCGCCACGGCCTACCTGGTAAGAGCAGGGGGTCCCAAGGGACCGTGCTGCACTCCCCTCCTTCCCCGGGTCACTGGGCTGCCTGCTTGGGCTGGGTGGCTGAAGGCAGTGCAGCCTCCATGTGCCCTGAGGGAGGCTGCTGCCATTGGCATCAGGATTCACCCTTGGGGTCCCTTTCCTGGAGTATTTTTGGGAGATAAGGGTGGACAAGACCTTCCGTGGTGGGTCCCAGGGTGGGGCAGCCCTGCCAGAGGAGCCTGGCAGGAGGTACTGCTGCGTCCTGAGCTGGGTTTTAGAATAATTCTGCAGGACGCAGCAGGCTTGGAGAAAGCCCTGGCGGCTGGAGCTGGGTCCCACGAGAGGTGGTGCAGCAGCCGGAGTGCCAGGCTCGGGAAGTAGAACAGGGGCCGACAAGGGATGCTGCGCTCTGCCCTGCGGGTGCATCCCCTGGGGTTAGCACAGAGATCTGCTCTTCCACAGACAGAAACAGCACCCGTCTGTGCTGTATTAATCCAAGAAGTGGATTAATGAAGCAGGGCCAAAGGAGCATCTGCTGATTGCAGTAGCCAGCTCAGGGAGAGGGGAGGAAGGCAAGGGCTGGCAGAAGGGAAGGAACCTCTCCAAAGCTGATGCCTGGCTGGAGAAAGTGCTCACTGGGATACTCCAAAAGCCCTGCAGCCTGCTCCATGCTGTGGCTGTGCTCAATTCCTCTTTGTGTTTGGGAGAAAACCCTGTGCCTGGTGAGGACATCAGCCCTCCACTGGACTCACACATGAGATGTCATGAGCAGATTGAGGAATGGGGCAGAGAGGAGCTGGGAGGGATGTTGCCTCTTGGCATCCTGCAGCTTTACGTTGGCTACTGGCTCTCCACTCCAGCACAGCTGGCCTCTGCATCCATGGCCCTGGGATGCCTTGGACCAGAGAAGCTATTGCAGCTGACAGCAGCCCAGTCCAGGCATCATAGCAGTCACCTGTGAGTGAGCAAGGAGAGCAATAACACTCACTCTGCAAAGCCTTGAGCATGTGTCCTTTGCCCACCAAACTCCTCCAGATCTTAGCAACATCTACCTTGGCTGAATGCTTGGATCCCCATCTTCTGGGAGCTGTACTCGCCCATGACACCTTACTTCTGCAGGAGTGCCTGGCCCTGCAGCAGGCCTTGTAGTCACAGGAGCCTGGTCACTGCCTTTTCCAGAGCCCTTCTTGGTCTGGCAATGCTCCTTGGCCTCAGCTGCAAGGCCTTGGTCCAGGTACTGAGCTCTACCCGTGGCTGGGGAGACATTGCACCCACCCGCTTCTCCCTCCTGGTCACAGGGCTCTGACAAACCCAGGGCAGCTGGGACACACAGTGCGGGCTGGCAGGAGGGTCCAGTCCCTCAATGGGGACAGCTTTTCATGTGCTACCTTCTTATTCCTATTCCAGTTCCTTACTAGGGCTGGGGCAAAACTGCAGCAAATCCAGCTGCATGCAGCTGCCCGTGGGGAAGGGGAACATGGAGCCAGAGAAGAGGAACAAGAGCCGAGGGGCCAGTTTCCCACTCTGGGAAGCTTGCAAGGCTTTGCTGCCTGGTCCAGCTCCAGATGCAAATCCTCTTCCGGCATCCCACATGTCCCAGGACCTCTGCAAGCACTGAGCCAGACCTGGCTGGCATGCCACCAAGCCAGCCCTGCAAACCACCCTGCAAATGCAGGTCAGGGTCCCCAGAGCTTGTATGTGGAGCGCAGGATGAAGGATACAGATCAGCACAGGTATCTGGAGACCAAAGGGTATCTCTGTGAGCAGGATCTGTGCAGCTCAGGTTTGCAGTGAGATGGAGCTGCTTCACCTGGGGGACCATGATCGCACGGGGCTGGGTTCCCCACTGCCTGGAGGGTGCTGGTGGAGAAGGGATGTCTGGAGAGCAGAGAGCAAGGGGGCTGCTGCTGCTGCTGCTGAGGCTCAGCCCTAGGCAAAACCTGAGGAGAGAGATTAACTGCATTTCCTTCTCAAATTTCACTTCTGGCAGCCAGTGAAGACCAAGAGGAGGCTCAGCCCTGTTCTGGGCTGGGGGGAACATAGGGAGAGGACAGGAAGGACAGCTGGAAAGGGGGACGCCGCCTGAGCAGCTCGGCGGTGCGAACCCTCGTCCCCATCTTGTGGCCGCGCGTGTGCATTGCACGGAGCCGCGTCAGCGTGCACGGCTGCACGGGTGTTGCACGGGGCTGCGTCAGCGTGCACGCCTGCTCAGGTGTTGCACTGGGCCATGTGAACGTGGACGCATGCATAGCTGTTGCACAGAGCCATGTCAGCGTGTACACCTACTTGGGTGTTGCACGGGGCTGTGTCAGTGTGCACGCCTGCAAGGGTGCTGCACGGGGCTGTGTCAGTGTGCACGCCTGCAAGGGTGTTGCACGGGGCTGTGTCAGTGTGCACGCCTGCACGGGTGTTGCACGGGGCTGTGTCAGTGTGCACGCCTGCAAGGGTGTTGCACGGGGCTGTGTCAGTGTGCACGCCTGCACGGGTGTTGCACGGGGCTGTGTCAGTGTGCACGCCTGCAAGGGTGTTGCACGGGGCTGTGTCAGTGTGCACGCCTGCACGGGTGTTGCATGAGGCTGTGTCAGTGTGCATGCCTGCAAGGGTGTTGCATGCACATGGTGTGGTGCGGTGCTGGCGTGCGTGCCAACACGGGTACTGGCAGACCTGTGCTGGCACAGGGCTCTGTGTGGGTGCAGGGGAGGGACTGATTCAACACCCGACACACAGAGCAAGGGGACTGCAGCGGCGTGGGCAGGGCCATGAGCAGCCATAGGACATATCTGCGGGGTGAGAGGGCATTTCCCACAGCCTGGTGATGGCACCGAGGGAGAGGAGGCAAGAACAGCTCCAGGTCTCCTCACCCATCTTCACATCTGTCCCGCTTTGCTCTCCAGAAGCTGCTTGCTGAGTGCCAGGACCAGCAGTGGTGCCAGTTCTCGGTGCACAGCCAGGTCTTTGGGCCAGATCCGTGCCCTGGGACACACAAGTACCTCATTGCTTCATACAAGTGCCGGCCAGGTGAGGCGGAGCAGGGTGTGGGCAACGCTGCGTGGGCTCTTCCCCAGCCTCAGCCGCTCGGAAAGCAGCAGAGAGGGGAGCTGAGCCGCTCTGTGTCTCGCAGCCCTCCTCCAGCCCTGCCCTTGGCAGCTCTCCGACCCTTGTCTGGGCTAAGGGAGGAGGGGGCTGCAGGTGATTTGGGATGCGTTGGGATGCTCTGCGGTGTCACTCCCCAGGGAACCATCGGGTCAAGACCGTGTGTGAGAATGACAAGCTGAGGCTGCAGTGCCGACCAAAATCCATCCTGGCCATTTATTCTGCAAACTACGGACGATTCCTGCGAGGCAAACCAGAGTGCGACGCCCTAAACGCTGGGGGACCTCATATAGGTACGTTGGAACAGTTTGAGACAGAAATGGGGCCAGCAGCCGTGCAGAAAGCATGGCACAAGAATGCCATTGGGCTGCACCTGTGTTCCTTGGCCCCAGCCGACTGGTGCCCAACGGGCAGAGGCAGGCAGGTCTGCCTGCAGGTCCATGCCCTATGTCTTTGCAGAGTGCTTGGCTCCAGACGCCCTGCGGAGGGTCTCCAAGAAGTGCCACCGCAAGGGGAACTGCACCGTGGCTGCTGACCAGGCCACCTTCGGGGACCCGTGCCTGCCCGGCACAAAGAAGCAGCTGCGAGTGTCCTACACCTGCGGTGAGAGCCACCCACAAGGCTGGGGGCATGGGAGCCACTGGCTGAGCCCCTGCTGTGCCCACCCTGTGCCATGCAGGCAGGGGCGTGGGGCTCCCTGGGAAGTCAGGGAGCTACTGGGGATGAGCAGGTTGGTGATGTTCAGTGTGTGCTCCCCTTGCAGTGCCCAAGCAGCTGATGGAGGAGGTGGGCCCTGACACCTCAGACCCTTTCCTGCTCTCGGACTACATGCATGGTAACGTGGGGGGCAGGCTACTCCCAAAAGTGGTGCAGCATCATGTCCGTGCCTGGGTGAACCACCCCTTCCATGGCCTCTCTGTATCTGTGGTCCCCACCACTGGCACGAGCCCTGCAGCTCCATCCCAGCATTGCTGTCCCATGTCTGGAGCCACCCGTCAGTGGTTGGTGCCCACGTCTGAGGGGCTGGAGAGGTGTGGTCTGCTGGGAGAGGGGAGAGGAGAACCCGCAGGGGAGCGTCCCCATGGGCAGAGGAGTGCTTGTGCAGGAAGGAAGGAGTGTGGCGTGGGGAAGGAGACAGGCAGGGACAGGCAGCCGAGCAGCAGGGTACTGGGGGGCACCTCATGTCTCAGCCTGCATCCCCTTGTTTGCTGCAGGTGGCTGGTACAAAGGGCCCAGGTTCTCCAGACTCCGGGAAGACCAGATGATTTTTACTAGCTCTCTGGCAGCTTTTGCCCACCTTTGGGGTACGTGCCCTCCACAGCTCTCACGCAGCACCCAGGGAAGCAGGACAGTCTTGAGAGGGTGGCTCAGGTCCTGTGATGGCCCCCACTCAGCCCGGGACTCAAGTCAGAGGCAGCCAGACCCCAGACACCTCTGGCTGTGTCGGAAGGCATGTGAGGGAGGAGGGCACCAAGCACCCAAGCTGGGTTTGGGGGGGCCACATAGGGCGGGAGCTCTGAGGATGAATAAGCCCCAAGGTCCCACAGCATCAGTGGTTGCAGTGCTTCTGCAGTCCTGCCCATGGACCTTCTTTCTCTGACAAGCAGAATTACCTTCCGGGTCTCCTTCCTTTCTGCCCTGTCTGCAGGGGCGCTGATGGAGAGCACCTCTCTGCAGGCAAAAATTTCCCTTGCCAGGAGAAATTACTCATTTAAATCCCTGGTGAGATGATTCCTCCCCCTGCGCTGCCTACCCCGCATCCCAGTGGGGGTTTCCTGTGGGCAGAGGGGCATTTCAGGACACTGGTGGGTGCGGATAAGGCTCTGGGTGACACTTCCACAATCACTGGGGCAGGGTCTGTCCTGCCCTGGCAGCCTGGGTGCTGAGGGCATCCCTGCCCCCCTCCTCTTCCTTCCATGTGCCTGGCAGAGGGGGTTTCCCAGGCACTGGTACCCTGCAGGCGGTGGAGGTGGTTTGTACCCTGTACTCTTTGCTCTTTTTTCCCATAGGCATCCCAGAGAAAGTTGGCCTCTACTTTCTTTGTGGGGTCTCGGGAGGCCTCATGCTCCTGCTGTGCATCATCAGCCCCAAAACAACCTTCCTTCAGGAGGTGGGGGAGGCTCTCAAAGACCCAGAGCTGGGGAGCAGCTTGGAGCTGAGCAGGACCAAGCTGCAAGATGAGCAGGACGAAGACCTTCCTGATGACAGCTCCTCGGACTCCTCCTTCCGCCGCCTCACCCGCACCTACCGCGCCACCGACAGCATCTTCAGCCCTGAGCTGACGGCAGCCATGGAGGGAGCGATGGAGCACCAGGGCCGCAGCGGGGAGGAGATCTGGATGCCCAAGGAGTCAAGCCCATACGCCATCCACAAGATCAAATCAGCCACCAAATAAGAACTGGAAGAAAATGGCTGGGGAGCAGCGGGGGGCAGAGGCTAAGTGGGATCCGACATCAGAGAGACACAAGAGTTTGGGCTGCTTGGGGCAAGTCGGAATCTGGATTGGCATCCGGGCGATGGCAGCCCCAGTGTGGCCATCAAACCGCTGCTCCACCAGCCTGGAAACCTCTAGACTGGGGGTAAGATGCGGTCCCGGGTGTGATGAGGGGCTGCGGGATGGCTCATGGGGCCACTGGCTCCTTTGCCATAAACACGCTGCTAACCCTAAGCTAACCTCACCATTCTCAGTTCTCATTAGCTGGCTCTAGTACTTAACCCTGCTCAGCCACACTGAGCCCACCCTGAGCCTTTCCAGGCCATTTGCTCCTGTTTCTTCTTGGGTGCTGGCTTCCAACCCTGGTGCTGCAAACATCCCCCCAGCACTAGGGCAGCATGCTGGCAGTGGAGATGCAGAAAAAGCCAGAACGTGGGGAGGATGCAGGTGGAGTGGGTGGGAGAGCACCAGGAGCATCACACAGCACAACCTTACCATGCCACATGCCTTGAAGCCCTGGTATCCCCAGGGGAGCTGCACCCCAGGGCTGTGGCAGCCAGCAGCTTGGCTCTCACCTCCCTGCCAGCATTCAGGAGCTCTGTCACCCTGCATTGCTCTGTGCTTTCCTTCATGCTTCCCTCTCTGGCAGGAGAGCCTCGGGGTTAACTTGCCGGAACTTTTTCCAGTAAATAAATGCAGCAGCTGGTAGACACAATGTCCCTTTCTGACCTCTGCCATTAACAGTGAAAAGGGAGAAAAAAGGAGGCAGCAAAGCTCAGCCCTCCCTCTGCAAATCAGCTCCTCACCTCCCACCAGTGATCTTGGCACTGGGCCATGGGGAGCAACAAGTTGAGCCTGTTTTAGTATGGGAAAGTATAAGAGTTTAGCCTGGGGAAGTGAAAGGGGGGAAAGCAGTCCATGTGGATCCCATGAACATTGCTTCCCTGCCCTTGCTCCTTCTCTTGAGCCTGAGGCTCTCTGTCTGGTAAGCAATCCTGGAGCAAACATCCCCAGATGCCATGCAGAGGGTATTCTCTGCAGCCCCACAGCACCAGGGAGCCAAGCTGGTTCTGGGGGCTGCTCCAGTTCCAAAAGGCAGGGCAGGCTCTATAGTGCTGTGGGAAGGGGCTGGATGGAAGCAGCAGCCCAGCTCTTCTCACGATAAGGACACTCCAAGAACCGATGCTCTTGAGTTAGAACGTAGCAGGGTCTGTTCTTCCATCCACCACTGCACATGAAGTGCCTGGGCTGAGTACGGCAAGAGAGAGCTGTGAGGGACATCAGTGCACCCCTTAACCAACCTGCCAGCACTGGTGGTGATCCAGGGAGGCACCGGCACCATCTCTGTGTCCAGAGCCATGCTGTGCTCGGCAGTGCGTGCACTCCCAGCATGGAGCCAAGCGTCACGGCAATGCAGCAGCCTTGCACTCCTGCTCCAATGAGGCAGGGCAAGGACTGGCATCCTGCCTGACTAGGGGTTTTCTGAGGGATGCTAGAGCCCGAGGAGAGTTTGGGAGGCTCTCACCTCAAACTGGCCCCAACATCCTTAGGTGATCGGCAGAACAGAGACCACGGACTTGCCTCCGTGCTTGGACAGCTGGCACAGTTCCTGCTGCACACCCACAGCATTCACCTTGCCAGGTCCACTTCTCGCTCCCCCCATCTTTCCTTCAGTACCCCACCAATGGCCAGGTGAGATTTTGGCATGTGTGCTGCGAGCCACAGCTCCTGCAGTGAGGCTGGGCTTCCCAAGAGCCTCCCAAGGAGCACCAGCACAGCAGCACCATGGGGACTGGAAAAGCCGGCTTCCCCCTGCCAAGCCTGGGCAGGATGGGCAGACGTGGACCTGTCCCAAAGCAGGCAGCTTGCCTAAGCCCCTGCAGAGCCGCAGGCAGACTTGGCTGGGGGGTTTTGGCTGAGGATCTTATCCCACAAGCCAATGCACTGTGTTTCTATCAGTGGTGGGATGTGCCCCAGCTCTGCCTGGCGAGTATGCACCCAACTTGTATTTTTGGCTAGAGCATGAGCTGCCCCAACATGTGTAAGGAGAGGCAGACTCCTGGATTCAACAAGAATCCCAGACTGATGGCAAGCAAACCTCAGGGAGCTCCCAGGCCAGGGATAGCAGCAGCAGCAGCATCAGGGGATCTGGGGATGGAGAAGACAAGTGGCCAAGGAAGAAACTAGATGGGCTGGAGCTGCAGCAGCCCTGACTGGTTTTGGAGACTGAAGGTACCTGAGATCTGTGGGACCCAGGTTTAAACCCACCCCAGTCCTGCTAGCACCCCTGGGCAGTGCCACACCCCAAAGCTGTTCTGCTGCTCCTGGCTGCCAATGGCCCCAGGTCTTGTGACAGATCTGCCTATACGTGCCCCGAGCCACCCTGCCTGTCAGCAAGAAGGGACTGATCCTGCCCACATGGTCCCTGGACAGCAGGTTTAAGTTCTCTCGGATGCTGGCACCAGGATGTTTCCCTAGCAAGGGATTCATCAGCTCCACTGGCAACAGCGGCATGTGAGTGTGGGATTATCCCAAAGGATTTTCTTGGGTTAAATTTAGGAATCTAGAAGCTTTTGCTGGGAATCTGCCAGCTGGGGGAAGCTCTCCTCTGCTGCAGCTCTGAGCTCTGCTGAGCTTACCCCAACTGCGGGGGTTCCTTTGAGCCTAAAGATTGGCACAGTGCTAAAAGCCCCCAAGATCTGGAGAGGGAAAGGGACATCTGCATGATGTGGCACATGTGCCACTCTCCATGCCAGTCCCCAAGGGACTGGGGACCAGGTCAGAGCATCCCCAGAGCCTCTGGTACCACAGAAGCAGCTCCAACAGTGCATGGGCAGGTCAGGGGCTGCCCAGCGACAACCACCCTGCACAAGCAGGGCAGCTCCTGCCCTTGGAGCCACCCACCAGCCCAGCCCAGCATCCCCCAGTTGAGCTCAGCAATGGGCATGGGGTGGGTGCCTCCCACCCCAGGGCTGCAGGCAGGGGTTACCTCTGCACCCCAGCAGCCATGCCACCCCTGCTCCCCAAGGTACTTGTCTTGGCCAGCTCTGACATGGATGTTTCTCAATGCCTCCATCCTTCTGGAAAACAAGATGCTGGAGAGAGCAGGGGTGACTGGCTGGGGGCTCCACACTGGGGAGGTCAACCCCTTCCTCCTTCCGATCTCGGTAGAAGATGAGAAGCAGATGGACCCTCTGAGAGCAACTGAGCTGGTGGAAGAGCCCCATGTGGACCCTCCTGGGTTCCCCAAGCCCACCAGGCAGGAGCAGTGGGCAAGGGAGGACGCAAGAGGGACAGGCCCTTATCCCCAGCCATGCTGCAAGGGTTTTTTGGGGCAAGGGGCTTTGTCTCTGGCCAGCACATTAAACAACCCCTGCTCATGCACCGTTTGAGGCTGTGTCTGCAGCAGCAGGTTGTAGCCCTCAGAGCTCAACCAACAGGGATGAACTGGAGACTGCTGGTGCCATCCCTGCCTGGCTGGGTGTGACAGATGCACTCGACACCTTAACCAAGCTCACAGTAGTTTGGTCCAGGCTCCAAAGGAGGAAAAAGCCTGAGCTGTGACCAAGTCAAGAACTAGTGCCAATCTGTTCTCTGAAAAACCACAGAGGAGCAGAGTGACACAGGGAGCATTGGTGCATGTGAGCTTGGAAGACCGATCATGTGATTAACTCACGCAAAGTGGGTGGCTTTTCCAAGACTCATTTATCAAGGAACAAAGAATGTTGTGGGTACAAGGAGTCTCATGAATACCTTTCCCGCCACATATAATTTGACTACAAGCCGACCAGTTTATTCCATAAATACGACAGCCCGAGAGAGAGTGAGCCTTTCTCGAGGTCTCCTTGCTGAGCAGCCTGGCTGCACGGTGGTGATCTCTCCTTGAGCTGGGATGCCCTCAAGGTTGCTCTTTGAGGCAGAGACCTTTCACCAGCGGCAGATCTTTGATAAGCGACTGGTATCACACATGACCTCGTAGTGTGGTAACTCTGATTTGTGCCTCGGTAACTTTGATTTTGTCTTGGCAACTTTGACTCTGCCTTGAAGTCATTGTTCAAATGACTGTGCTGTACAGTTACAGAGCAAACCTCGCCACCACACGTCATTAAATTGCACTTTTAGGGCATGACGTTAAAACCACTTTCATGGATACCTTTAACAGTGCTCTTTAAGGGATCTAAACCACCCACTCGCACCACCAGGCCGCGGGAGCCGCATGGCCAGCCCAGGGTACACCCTGGTCCCCCCAGAGCAGATACCCCCACCAGCCCGGTGTCCGGGCAGGGGGGTGAAGCGGGGTGGCCCACGGTGCTGGCTGCAGGCAGCGGGCCGGGGCCAAGGCCTCTAAGGGGAGCTGGGCCCTGAGGCCAGTGGCAGGCGGAAGGGTTGGGGCTGCTCCCCAGGGGCTCCGGTCCCGCCAGGGCCTGGCAGGGGGTGGTGAAGGGGCGGCTGCTCCTCCGCCCAGCTCCGTGCGCGGCCCTGCCGCCACCATGACACCCTCCCAGGGCAGCCCCCCTCCACCACGCATTTAAACGACAAACCGCCCTACCAATCACCGCCCGCCTCGGTCGGACTGCCCCGCCCCCGACGCAAGCCCACTTTTCCACTGGTCGCCGGGGCTGAATTTTAAACCCTTCCGCCCCGCCCCTTAGCAACCGCATCCCTACGAGGTCGCCGATTGGCCGCCGTCTGGCACCGCCCCGCTGCCTGATTGGCCAACGCTCGGCCAGTGCTGGCCGGCCGCTACCCAACTGCTACTTTCAAAAGAGCCGGGGCCGGCTGCGGGGTGGCGGTGCAGGTGAGTGCGGGTCGGGGGTCTCCTCTGCGGGGAGCGAGGGGCTGCAGGGGAGCGGGGGTCCCCCCCAGGGGCTGCAGGGGTCCCCCCCAGGGGCTGCAGGGGAGCGGGGGTCCCTCCCGCGGGCTGCAGGGGAGTGGGAGTCCGGGTCCCGGGGTCCCCCCCCCCCGCGGGCTGCAAGGGGCTGCAGGGGAGGGAAGGTCTGGGGGTCCCTCGCGAGGGGCTGCAGGGGAGTGGGGGTCCGGGGGTCCCCCCCGAGGGCTGCGAGGGGCTGCGGGGGAGTGGGACCTGCGCTTGGAGGGATGCCGGTGGTGGCTGTTGAGGGGGGCTCCCTGAAGGCTTAGCTCCTCACTTCCCCGAGGGTGCTGACCTCTCGCCTCCATCCCCCCCTTCCCTGCCGTGGGCTCGCTATACCCCCTATAAGTCCGTTCCCCTGTGCCCCGGGGGAGGGCAGGGGTGGGCACCGCTCTTCTGGGGTCTCCAGAACACAGAGGTACCCCTGAATTCACTTCCCCACCAGGTGTTGGGGGTAAGGGAGTAGGAGCCCTTACGTTCTTCTGCGGGATGCTGGGAGCTGTCCCACTCTGCTCCCAGCAGGGTGCTTTTGGTGGGGGTCATGGTGCTCCATGCCCCCCCCCCCCCCAGGAGCACACCAGCCCTTTCCTGTGTCCATAGCCAGCCCTGCACCCTCCCTGGGATTGCCTCAGGGCACCATCTGCCTGCCGTGCTCAGGGAGGGGGTTGCAGTCTGTCCCTGCTGTACTAACTACCCCTCCCCAGGAGGGACAAGCGTTCCATGGTTCTGTTCCTAGCCCTTGAGGGTCTCACTGGGGGCAGGTAGCTGCCTGTATCAAGCCCTGTTTTTCTCCCAGCTTGTTTGTAGAGGCCAAAAGAGAAGATGCCGTTGCCACGCAAC